AAAGGGAGAAGAAAAGCTCCAATTTGGTCTCATTGGTATCATTGAGATTTGGTAGAATGAACCTTATGACTAGAATATGGCTCTAGAACATTGCAAATTATTAAAAAAAAAGAACAGCATAAATGAAAGGGGGATGCAATATAGCATTGCATATTAAGAACATATTATTATTATAATGTTACTCCCCAGGGCAGCAGTGGCTCTCATCTTTCAATCTGTGTCCTAACTGAAGCTTTCGATCAGCTGATGGCAGTCTAAATCAGGAGCCAAGGACAGATTGAACTCATGGCTCCACAAGGAGTATAGCAAGAAACTATGCCATGCCTAAGGGGGACTTCCTGATTGTTCCAAGAACGGGACAAAAGGACTTTCAGCAAACAGAGGCTGTTTTGTTATCCCTTTGCCACATGTACTCTCTAAGCTTAAATCCATTTTCCTCTGGATTCTGTATGTACGTATGAGAGAGTGTCACAGACTTTTTAGGAATGTTGTATAACAACTCTACCTACTGTGCCATCTTTTCTAAAGAGTTACTCAAGACTTTACTGACTAAGTTGATTCTTGATTGATAGTCTTAGGAGGCAACATCAGTGGGGGCTTAACCCAATGGCATTAGAGAATTATCTGTGATCTCTTAGAAGTACCCTTAGAATTCTGAGGGGAAAATGTAGCTAGGTAAGTTCTAGTTTTGGGGACCCAACTAATCAGTGGGAGTAGAAGTAGAGATGAGCTTGATCTCAGAGCTTAGATATGCTACATAGGGAAAAGAGACCAAAAGGGTACTGAACATCTGAAAGAAATGGAGGAAGGGGGAACCATGGGGGAAGGGGAAAGGTATAAAGAGGAGGTGTATTATGTTGTCTACTATGCAAATTGATTGATGGTTGGCCCTCACATGAGCTCATCTTATGGTCACTGGAGAGAAAAGAAAGAAACTGCATTAAAACTAATTTAGAAGGGCCACAGAAGGGAACTACAGAGAACCCACCATCTTCAAAAAAGAAAGACCTGGAATTTGATGGTTACATGCCAAGATGACCTATGTACCAGTATCCTGGTTCTCATCCCTCTTTTGATAACAACCTCTCATCTTCAGACCTTACATAACACCATATTTTATACCTCTGTGATATGCTGTATGAGAAAGCATTACACAACTCCACCTCAATATAATGTAATCAGTGTAAGATAGGTTGAAGTTTTAAATGTGTAAACAAAGTGGTTTACCCCTGATCTTTTTATGAGGTGTGAAATTCTTTGATTGGTCAAGAAGGGAATAGTTGGTTCACTAACCACAACTCTAGAGCTTGACATAGAGGAATTTCAGCAGTTCCCCAGTCCTTCCAGGTTATCCCTAGAACCATGAAAGGATGTATAGCACTTCCTCTAGGTCACTGCCCCAACCTGTACTTGCATTCACAGATTGGGGTCCCCAGAGGGTCAGTTGCTCTTACCTGCCTCTCTGGATTCTAGTCAAGGGGCTGGGGTTTCTAATATTGTCATTCAGAAATACTCACAGGTTTTTAAAAGGTCCCCATATTAATTAGCTTATTAGCTTTCTCAGCAAAGGGTATTTACTAATGATTTACAGTAAGAACAGTTGGTAAGAAACATTCTCTGCCCCCCCCAAAAAAAAGGAAAAGAAAAGATCTGGGACATATCCTACAAGTATCCACAGGTATATGAAAAATAAATTCTTTACTGTAGAGAACACATGGGTCCAAATGGTAAACTCACAACTCCTGGTTCTTGGAAGTCCTTTCTTGAATCTGTTCCCCTCCATCACAGGGGGATGACACTCCCTGCAGGTGCTTCCTTCCTCATTTGGCTATCCTGTAACCATTTGTGTCTGTTTTTGTTCTTAATGTGTATCTCTCTCTGCCCTTTGTTGGAGGAGTTGTCTCCTAGCTGTCCGGCATGTGGGTGCATTCTCTTCCCCCTTGCTACATCCTGTTACAAGCCAGGGCAAGGGTCTGAGTTTGAAGTCCTTCACCACTTGACAGCTTCACCAGTAGACTGCTCTCTGATGAAATTCTTTGAGCTACTTAAAGTCCCCAGAAGAATGAATAGTCCTTGTGGTTAACTTATTGACCATATAGTCAGCTCTTCAGGTTTTTAAAAAATGTATTTATTTATTTAGTTTTCATTTTCAACATTTATTTCAAAAAAATTTTGAGTTCTAAGTTTTCTCCCCCTCCTTCCTCTTCCCCAAGACAGTGTGCAATCCGATATAGGTTTTATATATACATTCCTATTAAACATATTTTCACATTTGTCATGTTGTAAAGAAGAATTAGAACCAATGGGAGGAACCAGGAGAAAGAAGAAACATACAAAAAAAGAGAGAAAGAGAGCATTCAGACTTTGTGGTTCTTTTTCTGGATATGGATAGCATTTTCCATCATGAGTCTTTTGGAGTTGTCTTAGATTCTTGCATTGCTGAGAAGAGCTAAGTCTATCAAAATCATCACACAATGTGGCTGTTACTATGTACAATGTTCTCCTGGTTCTGCTCTCTTCTCTGAGTATCAGTTCATGCAAGTCTTTCCAGATTTTTCTGAAGTCTGCCCGTTCATCATTTCTTATGGAAGAATAGTGTTCCATCACATTCATATTCCACAATTTGTTCATCCATTCCCCAATTGATGGGCATACCCTCATTCTTGGCCACCCCAAAAAGAGCTGCTATAAATATTTTTATACATGTGGGTCCTTTTCCCATTTTTATGATCTCTTTAGGATATAGACCTAGAAGTGGTATGCTGGGTCAAAGGGTATGCTCAGTTTTATAGCCATTTGGTCCTAGTTCCAAATTGCTAGTTCCAATCCAGAATGGTTGAATCAGTTCACAACTCCACCAACAATGCATTAGTGTTCCAATTTTCCCACATCTTCTCCCACATGTATCATTTTCCTGTTTTGTCATATTAGCCAGTCTGATAGCTCTTCAGTTCTTAACCCAAAGATGTTCACACTTCATAAAGTGTGACATCACGATTATGAACCACAGCCTTTGTTGATTGTATTACATTCACTGAGGAAGGAAAGGGGAACCCACACTGCCCACCCCTTCAACTAGACTCTAAGTTCCTGGAGGGCTGGGACTTTCTTATCTAAACATTTTATCTTCACCCTTTCCCTGCCTACCAAAATTGTTTCATATTTGTTGAAGGAAGGAAGGAAATTTAAAGTTGAGGCAGCAGGAAATAGAAAATTTGAGGGGCAGGAGTACCGCAAAACTGGTGGACTGTTGCACCTGCATTGTGAGCACAAAGACTTTTTGAAGTTTTTTTCCCTTTTATTATCAATAAAGTTTCATTTCCTTTTATTTTTACTGCCTATGAGGTTTTCTGTTTCTGCTATTATCTTCTGCCTTCTCAATTTTTTCCCTCAGTATTAAAATGGAAATCTTCAAAAGGAGCCATCACCAACATTTTCCCCCTGATTCAATAGTATCCTCCTTTCTCCTGCACACTATCTCCACCCCCTCCAAAAAAAAGAGGGAGCATAATAGGACCTGTCTTCCCCCCCTGGGTTTGGTTGTACCAACCAGATGAATGATCAGGTAAAAAGAATCAGGGAAGGTGAGAGTTTGTATGTGTTTTGTGTAAAGTTCAATCTAAAAACTGGGCAAATCCCTTGAGGGGAATAGGATCCCTCTTCCAAGAGAGCTAGATGACTCGAGAAACTCAGCATGTCAAGGGTGGACCTGAGGACTGCTGCCCTGAAGTCCAGCTTGCCCCCACCCCCACCTGAGAATGAAGCCCTTTGCCCTACTACACTATCACTACCCCTTCCACCCCGACTCCCACTTAGGGGAAACCGCCTGCGAGCGACGACACAGACGAGGAAGGAGGTGCATGCCAGTCTAGATGATTTCACATCCCAAATTCCCTTCCCTAGTCTTTTCACCTTACAGATGGCGTAACTGAGGTACTGCACCTCCACAGGCCCTCTAAGTATTTTTGCAGGGAGGGAGGTGGGTGGCCATAGAGGTCCAGGGAGAGGTCAGAGCCCTCTAGCGGTCAATCCCTGAGCTGAAGCCGGCTCTGGGTTCATAGTGCCTCGAGCCCCGAATCATTGCAGCAAGCGGAGCCTCGATCCTTACACCCGACCCGGTCGCCTTTGCCTGCGCCTGCGTGGACCTGGCCCCTTGCCCTTGCTCCTCCTCCTCCTCCTATTCCCCATAGGAAACCTCCCCCACACCCGTAGTAAACCAGTTCCTCCCACCTCCTCCTCTCCATAGGGAACCTGCCCACTCTCTTTTAGAAGCTTCCCCTCCCTCCCTATCCTACCCCGCCCCCCATAAGAAACCTCCCCGGCCATAGGACATCTCCACCTTCCCCAGTGGAAACCTGCCCTCCTCACTCCTCCTCTATAGAAAACCTCCTTTCCCTATAGAAAATGTGTCTCCTCATCCAGTATAGGAAACCTGCCCTCCGTACTCCTCCCCTATAAAAACCTCCTTCCCCTATAGAAAATGTGTCTCCTCATCAGTATAGGAAACCGGCCCTCCCTACTTCCCTATAGAAAACCTCCATCCCCTATAGAAAATGTGTCTCCTCCTCCAGTATAGGAAACCTGCCCTCCCTACTCCTCCCCTATAGAAAATTTGTCCCTCCCTTCTCGTCTTGATACTCCTCCCCAGTGAGGATACCAGCCCCTCCTTTATCAGAAATCTGCCCTCCCTTTTAGAAAGCTTGCCCCCCTCTTCGTCTACCTCCTCCCCTACAGGAAGCCTACCCATCCTTGGTCATAGGCATCATTCCCCCACCCCCACCTGGGGATCACCCCAGGACACCTCGATCATTTCCTATGTGTGCGGGGGAAGAGACGCCCCAAAAGGGAAACAAACGCAGGTCAACCCAAGTCCGCCCCCTGCGGGGCGCCTCCCCTGGCCCAGTCGGCTGTCAGGGAAAGCCCAGCGGGGCGGGGGCGGGGAGAGGGGAATGGGGTGGCTGACGTCACTTCCGCCCAGGCCTGGCAGTGGCTGAGCCTGGTGGTGCTTGGGGGCAACGGTAGCAACGGCAGCAGCAGCAGGAGGAAAAGGAGGAGGAGCAGGGGAGGAAGGAAGGATCGTTCGGCCTCGCTACCCGCCTCAGCGCGCCCCGGGCCCATCGGAGCAGCCAGCCAGGGCCGCGACTCCGCGGGCCTGCGCCACGCACGGGATCGGGCCCGGCCGGATGGGCGCCTGAGCCTCGGGCCCCTCAGCGCCCTGGATCGGGGCCGGGTGAGGGTCGCGGCGGGGACGGACGCGGACGCGGGGCCTGAGAGCGAGGAGCGGGGCAGCCGGGCCCCCTCTAGCGGGCGAGGCCGGGGTCTGGCCTCGGAGCACAGCCTGAGCGCCCCGGGCTTAGAGGGCCGGGCGGGGGCGGGGGGCAGGGGGCAGGCTCTGCGGGGGGAGGGGGCCGGAGCCGGGACGGACCCATCGACAGCAGTGTATAAGATTAAGGCTTGGGGGCCTGCAGGGAGGAGGAGGCGGCAGGGCAAGGTGTGGAGAGGAAACAAAGTGGCCAGGGCCTGACGGGGGTATCATTATCCAGAACAGGGACAAAAGGACGAGGCTGCAAGCCTGGGTCTGGGGGAGACCACAGGAAAGAGTGGCTGGCCTGGAAGGGCGGGACCAAAGGAGGAGGGATTGTGGTATTTGCTTAAAAAAGAAAATACTGTCCGGAGGAAGGGAAGTTGGACTCCCATATTGGATTGTGCTGGGCATCTTGAGGAGAGAGGCCGGCCTTCTGTGCGGGGTGGGGGCCCCTGGCAGTGTCGGAGGGCAACTTCACTGTGAGAGTCATTGCATTGGAGGGTCCCCCTCCGGAAGGTCCGCTGAGTCTGTCTTCCTTTCTGGCATCCTAACCTCGCTCCCCATCTCCTTTCCTCACCCTTAGTTCAGAGCTCCCGGAAGCTGAGAGCAGGATGTTCCGGTTCATGAGGGACGGAGAGCCTGAGGATCCCATGTTCCTCATGTGAGCCCCCACCCCCCATGCCAGGGCCCTTCCGACCCCCCCATGCCAGGGCCCCCCCATGCCAGGGCCCTTCCAGCCCCAGCCTGGGGGAGGCTGGGATAGACCCCCACGTTCTCCATCAGGGAGTCAGCATACCCGGTTTTAGTGTTTGTTCTGGATCACAAGGGGATACCTTCTCTCTTTGCCTTAGTTTCTTTGTGTTTTCATTTGAGAAGGAAGGAACCCAGGCATGGGGCTTGTGGTCCTTCTGACATGCCTTCTTTTGTGCTTTCCACAGGGACCCTTTTGCTATTCATCGACAACACATGAGTCGGATGTTGTCAGGAGGCTTTGGCTATAGCCCTTTCCTTAGCATTACAGATGGGAGCATACCAGGGGCTCGACCTGCTAGTAGAAGGATGCAGGTAATAGGGCAGACTCCCTCAGACATTGGGATTGGGAAGGAACTTGAGGAAAAATCCCTGCCCTGCCCCTCCCACAAGGGGAGGGCGAGCCAAATTCCTGCTGCTTAAAAAGACAATGAGGGTAAACTTGGGGAAGTGTGGGCCTAACCCTAGGTTTATCGGGAAGAGGGGAGGTTTATATTCTAATTCTACTCCTTGTCCATGGACCTGTAGGCTGGAGCTGTCTCACCCTTTGGGATGCTGGGAATGGTAAGTCCTCATTCCCCTACATCTCCCTCATCCTGTGTTCTTTATTCTCTTTCAGTATTATTTTCAGATCTATCCCTTTAAGAGGTCTTTTGGAGTAACTACAGTGGTGCCTCCTCTTCCCCTCCCCCCTTTCATATTAAGTGTTCACAAAACTTTAAGCATATACAGTGTTACTTATTTGTTAACTGTTAACTAGAGACCCAGAATCTCTAGAAAGAGGACTCTTTTTCTTTCGCTTTTTTATGGGGTCTGTTTTGTTATTGTGTGTTTGTTGGGGAGCGGTTAGTATTGGTTCTTGATAGGTTAAAAATCCATTGACTCTGTGTTGAGTTCTTAGAGGAAGGGGAAGGTGGGGAAGCCAGGAAATGGAGAAGAAGAATGAAGCCAGAGAGGGAGAAGAAGAGGTCAGTGTTGTTTTAGCCTGTTTGGATAGGGAGATTCAGGGTATGGATAAAAGGATTTAGAGCTGGAAGGAACCCAGATCTTCTAATCTACAAAAATCTACAAAGTCTACAGAGTAATCAGCAAAGTCAAACAGATATTTGTTGGCAAGGCTAAGATTTGAACTCCGGTCTTCTGACTCCAAATCTAGTGCTTTTTCCACTAAACCACACTGCCTCCCAAGAGGTCTTAGAACAGATGACCAGGTGTGAGGGGGAAAGGAAAGCCAGGCCATTCTTAAGGTTGATGAAGAAACCTAGAGTTTATTGATTTTTCCTGAGCTGTTTCTTCTAACTCTCCTTCCCTAGACAGGTGGCTTCATGGACATGTTTGGGATGATGAATGATATGATTGGGAATGTGGTAAGCCTCTTGCCCTTAATCTTAACCTTTTGGCCCTAAATAATAGCCCAGTTCCAAGGATTCCTCTTTTTCTATAAAGGGATTCACTAAAAAGTTAGACCCTTGAATTCTGGGTTGGAAGTTGGTACTCACATAAGGACGTGATATCAGATCTCTACTCAAGAAGCTTGAGCAAGATAGAGATTTCACATTAGGCATCCAGTTTAGGGCAGAATCTCTTCAATTGCTTCAAGGTGACTTGTGAGTTCTTACAGTACTATGATAGAGACAAAGTTAAAAACAAGCTGAGAAGCTGGAAGAACTATCTGGTGAGGGTGGGATCCCCTCCTTCCCCAACCAGTTCAGCTCCAGCCTCCCTTTTCTACAGGAACACATGACAACTGGAGCCAACTGTCAGACCTTTTCATCCTCCACTGTCATCTCTTACTCCAACCTGGGTGACGGCGCTCCCAAAGTCTACCAAGAAACATCTGAGATGCGCTCAGCACCAGGTGGGGTAAGTGCTGTGGGGAGATGGTAGAATGGCTCTGGATCCACAGTGCTGGACTGGCCGCCTATGGATCCCACCTCTCTCAAAGCTGGTGCTGCTCGATGTCATCCAGAAAAACACTGGGGTGTTTCTCAGAATTGTTTGAGGGAAGTTTGGACCACAGGTCCTGTCAGTAGAAACTTGGATGCAAGGCAGCAAGATATAACAGGCTATCCATCCTTTTTTCAGATCCGAGAAACCAGGAGAACAGTGAGGGACTCTGATAGTGGACTAGAGCAGATGTCCATTGGGCATCACATCCGAGACAGGGCACACATCCTCCAGCGTTCCCGAAATCACCGAACAGGGGACCAGGAAGAACGGCAGGACTACATCAATTTGGATGAGAGTGAGCCTCCTCAAGTCTGACTTTTCCACTTGCCATTCTCATCATTCTTGCCCAGCAGTTCCCACCCTCCAATAGAATACTTCAGGGCTCCAGACAAAGCCAAGGAAGTTATCATTGGCCTGTTTTCTCTGACTACCCTTTTTCTTTCATTATCCAACTTCCTTTTCTCCTGGCTTTTTCAAATTAACAAATGCTTATGGAGTTCCTATTATATGTAAGGTACTATGATTGTTACTGAGGAGATGAAAAGAAGTCATCTTGTGCTTTCTTTTTTCTTCTCTGTGGAGACACTAGGGCTCCAAAGTACCTCCCACTCACTAGTTGCTGATCCTTGACCTAGACTAATAGTCTCTTCCCTTGTCTTCCTGCCTTTAGAAAGATGTTAACCATGCCTGTTTTTTGCATCTGCCTCTTGAAATTAACCTGGACCAGGAATCCAACTACGTTCTGTGTATTCCCTCTTCAGGTGATGCTGAAGCTTTTGACAATGAGTGGAGGAGAGAGACATCCCGATACCGGCCACAGCGCCCCCTGGAATTTCGTCGCCATGAGGCTGCTGGGGCGGGTGGGGGTAGAAGGGCTGAGGGACCTCCTCGGCTGGCTATACAGGGCCCTGAGGATTCCCCCTCTCGACAGTCACGACGCTATGACTGGTGAGGGCCCCCAGGTGCTCTCATAAGTGTTGGTGGGGAAGGGATCACAGGTGAGGGATGAAGTCCCTCAGTCATTCCTCTGGCATTTGGAGGAAACCCACTTGTTCCTAATATTGTGGAGTGGGGTGAAGATCCTCTTAGAGCCTATTTTGGTGATAGAGGTCTCAGCTGGTCTAAGAAAGGAAAGAAATTCTCCTAAATTGGAGAGTTGACCGCAACCACCAAGACCCTCATCATCCAGCTTCTGTTTTCCCGCCTTCCTTCCTTCCTTCCTATATGACAAGCTTTCTTTCCTACCACCTCTCGGTACATTCTGTGAGGGTAAGAAAAATCACCCCTCGGAACAATTCCCTTCCCCCAATTTAATATTAAATAGAGGTGAGCTGGCCCCTTCAAGCTTAGGAAGTCTTAGGGGGAGCTTTTCACTGCCCCTTTACTGCTTTTACTTGGCCCGTCTCCCCTTCTCAATCTCACCCTCCCATAGTGAATTTACTGACTTTTTTTTTTCTGTTGCTCCCTGGTCACTTGATTTTTTTTTCTCCCCTTTAGCCCCCAATAAGTACAAAGCCCCTTAGGATAAGTTCTGGGGGTAGGAGCCCCATTTCCCCCCAAAGGTCTATTAGTGGCCACTGGATCCTTTCTCATCTCTACCTAGAAGTCCCATGTTTGGGGCTGTGCCCCCTCCCTACTAGCTGGGTAAGGGGTGGGTATTGGGTCCTCTTTCCTCTTGTCCTCTAATCCTATGCCCCCATGTACCTATGCACAAGTGTGTGCACACACAAACACATACACACACAGACACACACACACTCCGTCTCTGCGTCCCTTTGCCCTTTGGGTTTGTGTGTGTATGTAACTTGTAACTTTATGGAATAAAGGGGAATGGAAAAGAAGAGTTTTTAGGAATGTGATTCTGTTTTGTTCCCAGTCCCACAACAGCTGTGACCTCCAAGCCACCATGTTTCCTTTTCTTGACCCTAATTTACTTGATCTCCCATTCACTGTGACTCCTATTTCCTTCTCCCACCTCCCATTTCTTCTGGCACTCTTCTTATACAACTTGGGTACAGTGCCTGGTTGTTGGTGTAATTGTCATTGCTTCACACTCATGTGGAAGAGAGTTGGGCATGAACTAAAGGAATTAGTTTCAACTCTTCTCTGGCTCCTTTCTCCCAGTTTTCTCTTCCCCTGTCAGGGAGTCCATGCAGCCTCAAGCATGTTCTAATGTGCAGAAAGAGGGATACTTAATATGACAAGCCAGTGTAGACTTCAGCCCTTTCCCACTCCCTCCAGGCAGGTGGAAGTGAGGATACCAGGGGAAAGAATAGGAGCCCAGAGGAGAAAGGCAATCTGGAAACTGATAGGTATTGAAAGTGAATATGGATCTCTCAAATTTCTCTCCCAGCTCCTTAAAAGTTTTGCTTCTCTTATGATCTCTTCTTTAACTCTAACCCAGCCAAGTGAGTCCCTATTTCTCTTATCCAATTTTAAGGGTTTGATGATTTTTAGATCAGGGTTTGGTAATGGTTTTATCTTTGTAACCTAGAACTCTCCTTTTGCAACCCAGTTAATTATAGAGGGCATTGTTATTCCCTTATACAGCTATGTCTTAATCTAAGTCCGGAATTCCAGAAAAAGGGGTAATTTTTCTCCAGATTCTAGATAGTGAAACAGACCCAATATAGGTGGGAGAAATAAAATTATACAATGGTGGGAAAAAAAAGAAGAGGCACTTTGCTGATGAGCATCCAGCTCAGAGGTGATATTTTTAGACAAGGGTGAGGACCACGTGGCTAAAAAATCCTTGAGTCCCCTTCCTTTCAAAGTGAACTCACATCAAATGTTTTGTGTTGCTAAAAGGGACTTAGGATCACAATGTCAGACTTGGAAGAGACTTTTAGTATAGTATTACTATCTTATCAATTATCACAGTATGTGAAAAGTACTCATCATTAAGGTTACCAGTAAATAGCAGAGTCAAGACTACGTTTTGTGGTAGAGCACTTAAACACCTTCAGATAAAGAAGTGCTACCAAAGGTGGAGCTGTGGAGGTAGAGGCAGCACAGGGTGGTGGAGAGAGGAGTGGCCTAAGAGTTAGCCCAGGTTATGGAACTGGTTTGCTAACTACCTGTAGGACCTCAGGCAAAGGAGACCTGAAGGCTGACTTATCTATAAAATGAGGGGTTTAGACTGAATGATCTCTTAAGGAATCTTGCAGATCTTTAATATTGTATGATCCGAATGTAACTCATCCGATCTGATGTACTTACACATCCTGAAGTTCCAGAAGGCCACTGAAAAACAGAACAGAACCCTTGGTAAAGGTTTATTAGCACCAGAGTTTGGTGAGTGCCCTCAGTATATATATCACCACCCTGGGGTCACTGAACAGTTATAGCTAAGCTCTTTTCTCCCCTTTTTAAAAATGAGAAAAGTTGGCCCCTGGGAGTAGTGACATCCTTTGTTGTTCCCTCACTCCTTTAAAACAAATTATACAAATTGTACAGTTAGCCAGGCAGTAGATAAAGTTTTAGATTTAGAGTTAGGAAGGCCTGAGTTTAATTTTATCTTACCTCTCTGGGCTCAATTTCCTTACTTAAAAAAAAAAAATTAGACTATTAGTACCTACTGTACAGGATTGTGAGGATCAAGCAAGCTGTATGTGAAGTATTTTTCAAACCTTAAAGTACCTTGTCAGCTGGTGTTATTACATCAGGAGTTCCCCAGGTGGGAAATTCCTGCCCTCTAACACCTGCATAACTGTAAGGATGAATTGGCTAAATCATAGCTTCTGAGGGCTACCTGGAGTGTAAATTCATGACCCCCAACTTCCTTGTGGCTTGTACCAGAAGGAATGAGAGGAAATAGCCCCCAAGATCTTCACAATTGGAAGACAAAAAGGTGGGGGGCATGCTGGATTCTCAAAACAACCACTAGAGGATGTAGCCAATGGGCAGCTGGAAGGCAAAAGGGACTAAGGACAGGATAAGAAAATAGAATAGAGGGGCAGCTAGGTGGCACGGTGGATAGAGCACCAGCCCTGAAGTCAGGAGGACCTGGGTTCAAATGTGACCTCAGACCAAACACTTGACACTTACTAGCTGTGTGACCCTGGGCAAGTCACTTAACCCCAATTGCCTAAAAATAAAAATTTTTTAAAAAAGAAATGAAAAATAGAATAGAATGGAGACAGGAATTAAGGATCCCCAAGAGGTTTCTCCTGGGAGAAGGGGTCTTTCTTTCATGAGTCTTAGGTTGTCACAACTTGTGAACTGGCTAGGGAAGTGGAAGAAAGCCAACAGTCTCGGTTAGGAATGGGCCCAGGGCTCTTCATCCAGAAAGGGACTAGAGGTTCCAAAGAAATAACTCTTCCCAGATAAAGTTACAGCTTTAAAGTTTGTGCCTTTTCTCCTTGGCTTTGAAGGGAAGAGGACAAACAGTAAGCCAGTATGTGAGGAAGAAAAGAAGTTATTCTCTTTTCCCTCCAGGAGCTCCAGCAAAGTGTTATCCAACAGCCACATCCACTGATTGACAAAGTTTCCTCAAGAGTTGATCTTTTTGGCTTCTTTTACTTTTCCTGTTTGGCCCTATTGTGAGAATTAAGACATTTCCTACTTCTTCTCCCTAGTTACGGGTACCTACTTCCTGGAATATGTACAGATTCTGGAGAGGCATGTACAGAACGTCAGCTTTCTCCATCCAGGAGGCTACCATGATCATCTGTGGCGAAGGGACAGGAGGCCCTGTGAAGCTGGGTTTGGGGACAGTCATGGGAAATTCAAGAGTAGGTGAGGAAATTGGGGAAAGGGCAGAAAACAGTTAATAATGGGGGAGTATGAATGATTTAAGCAGGAACTTAGGTCATTTTACATGTGACAAAATGGGCCTAGAAAGATGTTCATTAGTTAATGCTGGAAATGGGACTAGAACCTAGGATTCTAAGTCAGATTTATACAAAAAATGCTTTGGGATGTTCTTTTATAAAATGTTAACCATGTGAATCCCTTTAAATGAATAGTGAGTACATAGGATCATAATATTTAAAGTCAAAAAAGACTTTCAGATCCCCTCAATTTAAGGCCGTGGTGAAGCCTGGAAAAATTAGGTAATTTGCACAATGTAATACAGGTAGTAAAAGCCAAAGCCAGAAGTCCTCCACTACATTTAAACAAGTCTGCCAAAAGTCTGTAAGTTTATAAGCAGCATGTAGCCACATGCACTGTGTAGGATGATCCCAGCAGAGCCACCCTTTCCACCTGGGTTCCAGCTTTCCAAGGACCAGATACAGCATCTCTTAACCAACCCTAGAAAAGGATGCCTCATGTCCTCATCTTTTCACAACTACCAGATTTATTATACGTGAATGAGCTGGAGGGTATGCTCTCATCTCACCCCCTGAAGATAGCATGTTTTTTATGCTATATGGCATTTGTCCTATTATACAAGCCTAAAAAATTAACTTTCCAGATTATTCATTTGAATCAGTCAAAAAACACCTTTCTCCTTCCCACTTTCCCTCCTAAGCTTGCTGGGCTCTACTGTACTTGTCAATCTCCTCTCTCCAAAGAGTTACTTGTGCCCCTGTGGAACATGAGAGGGAGGGAAGCATGAGACATTCTACTGGACCCTGCATTAGCAACGCTTCAGCTGGTCCAGGATAGCTTTGATCTCAGCTAGGTGATGGTTCTCAACAAGTTTTCACAGTCTTGGAAGGGAATGGACACTGAGGTGACACCAGAATAAGTCCCCTTCTCCTTAACTATCTGGCTTCGGCTCACAGTTTAATTTCCTAGTGGCTGCACTGGGAGGGCAGGAAAGGAGTAGATTCTGTTTAATTCTTTTATTTCTTGCTGGTCTCCAGGAAGAAATTCCTCTGATTTCTAGTTTTAATCTTTGATTTCCCCCGCTTCAGAACAGTGTCTACGTGTTCAGACCTCACCTTTTAGATGAAGGTTGGGGATTGTTCCCTGTGTAAAACAAAACAAGAAAACATGAGTTTCTCACAGTTTTTTCTCCCATGCTGTAGGGTTCAAGAGCACAAGGTAGAGAAATTATAGCAAAACTCAAAAGCTGAATCCCTGGGACCCCATCGACTCCTGAAGTTGTACCCTGTGCCCTCCTCCTGCTCTCTCTCCTCCCCTCTTTCTTTTTTTCTATTTTTTTCATTCTCAATCCCTCCTTTCTTTCACTCCATCACTAGTAGGGCCTCTCTTTTCTTTGTCTTTCTGGACTAATCTTTAGCCCAATTTATTTTTTTTTCAGGCTTTTCCCAGACATCCACTCCCACTCCACTGCCCCTTCCCATAGGAATATGTTACTTCACAGAAAGGAAAGGTAGTAAGGAAAGCAGGAATAAAGAAATTGTTCTTTGCAGTCTACCATTTCCTCTGCCTCCCGTTCTCTAATGGTGCCTTCCGTTTTCCCTCAGCTCCCCATCATATATACCCTACACAGTAGTTTCTGGTGGTTTATTGCATTTATCCATTCTCTCCTACTCACATGAGGGATACTCAGTAATGGAGTTGCTCCTAAACTATGGTTGTAATAAATGCATGTCAGTGCCCAATAAATGCTTGTTGTATGATAGTAAACACCCATATATAACCCCTTATGTTTATACAGAAATTCTTCAATTCTTCAACATTCTCGTAGATGTGGTACTCCAGCAGTAGAGATTGCAACTGATCCCTCCTATCTCATTCTGTGCAATTCTGGTCCATCTTCTCTTATAACTCATTCACTAAGTAACCATCCAGTGTGCTGGAGCCCTTCCTCTGAGTCTTAAACCTTTTTTGGAACCATTGCAACACTCTGGCTATTCATCTGTTCTCACCCATTCTTACTCCATGACTAACCCACCTCTATTTTCTCAACAACACCTCTCTCGACTTCTT